AAGAAAAAAAAGCTAACGAATAAACGGATACTTCCGACAGCGAAACGAGGCGGTGTATTGCCGATTCTACCGTTGTTGGGAGTTCTCGGTTCTCTGGCCGGCGGAGCGGCGGGAGTCGTAAAGGCCGTGAACGATAACAAAGCCGCGCGGCGTCAGCTGGAAGAGATGCAACGTCACAATCGCGCCGTGGAAGGTCGCGGACTTTATCTCGCTCCGTACAAATATGGACGAGGGCTGTATCTCGGCCCGCACAAACGCGGGCGAGGAGTAGCGTTGAAAATAAAAAAAAAAAAAACGTCAAAAAGACGTTAAATATGCCCGCGGGTATTACGACTAACGTACAATTGAATCGACTGGCAAGGCGTATGCGCGTACCGTTCTTCAGAGGTGTCTTCATGCGTGATTCGTTACCGATCGGCGGTGTACGTCGAAACGAGAGCGGTATCGTGAATTTGGACGATGCAGCGGGTCCCGGTACTCATTGGGTAGCGTACGCGAAGAGGGAAGATCGAGTCGTATATTTCGACAGTTTCGGCAATCTTCGACCGCCGAAAGAATTGGTGCGATATTTCGGGCCGAGCGTGACGAAGATCGAGTACAATTGCACGTCTTATCAGCGATACGATCAGAACATCTGTGGACAATTGTGCCTGCGATTTCTCCGGACGATCGACGCTAATTTAAAGCCCGACGGTGCGCCGTGGTGACTCAGTATTCGTTAACGGTTTTCGCCGACATGTCTATAACGTTCACGCTGACGGGGAAGAGCAGCATCCTCGCGGAGCACTATTTTCCCGCCGTGGATCTGAGCGACGGTGACTACGAGCTCGGTCTAACGTGTTTTGAGACTTATCACACGATTCCGAACGTGAATTCTTCGAACAATAAATTTTATTTCGACGAGGATGACACGGAAATTACGATTCCCGAGGGATCGTACGAGATACGAGCCATACATGAGTTTTTGAAACGCGAAATTTCACGAAAACGCCCGCGACGCGTAAATCGTTCCAACGATGATCGTACGTCGGTCGCGAATATCGCGCGAGAGGCGACCGCTCGCGCGAACGGCTACGAAGACGAGGCCGCGGAATACCCGATAGTGCTCCGCGCAAATTACAATACGATGAAGAGCGAGATCAAGTGCGCTTTCAGAGTGAACTTTAACAAACCGAACAACGTTGGATCGCTGCTGGGATTCTCGTCGAAGCGTATATTGCAGCCGAGACAGTGGCACGAATTGGACGCGTCGATTAATATTATCAACGTAAACATTATCCGCGTGGAGTGCAACGTGACCGCGGGTGCGTACAGCAACGGCAAACGTGTTCACACGATACATGAATTTTCACCGAGCGTACCACCGGGATATAAGATATCGGAAACGCCGGCGCAGATCATTTACCTGCCGATCATCGCGCGAAGCGTTACGGATCTAACGATACGCGTCACGGATCAAGACGGACGATTGCTCGATTTTCGAGGAGAAGAGATCACCGTCAGATTGCACGTACGACGACTACAGCGATAACGCGCGACGTGTGACATGCTCGTGTTGAACGACTCGGAGCGTGCGACGGATAAGAATATCTTTACGACTGCGACGATCGACGATATCATCAAATCGACATTCGGTAGCGTTAAAACAGCGACGAAAACAGAGACGAGAAAGAAGCTCAACGCATCGAACGTTAAATTTTTACAATCTCTGGGATTCGCGGTACGAAACATCTGAACGATGACTGAAATTCTTAACATCGGAGGCGAGCCGGTCTTTGACGATCGCATCGTCAAGATCGAGACTCACACGTACAACCCGTACGCCAACACAACGTTCGAGTATAGCGACGAGATACGAATACCTATACAACAGCAGGATCTGTATACGTTGCCGTGCGAAAGTTTTCTCTACGTCGAAGGAACATTGACGGTGACCAGAGCAGCCGGCCAAGCCGATAACGTGGTATTGGGGAATAATTGCGTCACGTTCATGTTCGATGAAATTCGATACGAGCTCGACGGTGTGGAGATTGATCACTGCAGAAACGTAGGAATAACCAGCACGCTCAAGAACTACGTTACGGTATCGTCCGACAGAAGCGTGATCCTGCGAAACGCAGGCTGGGAACCGCATAATAACGCGAACGGATACTTCAATTTCTGCGTACCGCTCAACCTGTTACTGGGATTTTGCGAGGATTACAAACGCGTGGTGATCAACGCTCGTCACGATTTAATCTTGATACGATCGCGCACCGACAACAATTGTCTGTTGGGAAGTCTCGCGTTCGAGCCTACTGTCAAACTACTCAAGATACAGTGGCGAATGCCTCACGTGGTATTGAGCGAGGTCAACAAGCTGTCGATGCTGCGCGCCTTGAAAAACGAACGATATCTAAGTATGGGTTTCCGTTCGTGGGATCTGTACGAGTATCCCCTGTTGCAGAACACGACCAAGCACTCGTGGGCCATTAAGACCGCGACTCAGCTCGAGAAACCGCGATACGTCGTCTTCGCTCTGCAAACGGGTCGGAAGAACGTCATGTCCGCGGACACGAGCCGATTCGACGACTGCAAACTGACCAACGTGAAACTCTACCTAAACTCGGAAGTCTATCCGTACGACGATTTGAATTTGGACTTTGGTAAACACAGATGGGCGATTCTGTACGATATGTACGCGCGTTTCTGCAAGGGCTATTACGGATACGAATATCTCGAGCCGAGTCTCACCGTTTCAAC